TGCCAGACCAAGAATTCCATCCAAGTCATCCCTTATGATCGACTTACTGAGTACTAACGCTTGACCAAATATCGTATTTGGAACGACTAATTGAGTTGATCCTTCTCCACCGAACTGAAACACTCAGTAAACTCCATCAGTTTTGCAAATTTCAATAGATATCTTCGGTTTCTCGTTGAGTTCCTCAGTTATTTTTGATTGATAAGATCAGATTGTAAGCATAGTTATGTGGTATTGATCAATTTCCTTAATGCCCGCTCACATTATGAAACAATATCTTCTGACGTTCTAAACTTTTCGGCATCAAGTCGTTTTAAAAAACTTCCCGTTTGAAAACGCCTTCACAAAACCGTCACAATTTCATCTGAGAATGCTTGAGAACACAATGGACAGCAACGTATAATCAATGAGCTGAATTGACTCCATGAATTCTGCTCAGATTAGTTGGGAAACGGCTCAAGATTGCTCAACATCGGCAAACGAAGAAGGAGCGAAATTTGCACAAATCCTCTCGATTACCCCATCAAAAGACCATAAAAAATGGCTTGTGAACGAACAAATGACACTTACGCGAACCACGTCTTCACCGAAGAACCCTGACGAAGNAAAAAATGGCTTGTGAACGAACAAATGACACTTACGCGAACCACGTCTTCACCGAAGAACCCTGACGAAGCTCCACTCCCATATTGGATTGACCATTCTCTGCCGTCAGCTTTGTAGGTGGATGATGCGGACGAATCAAAGCACTGCTTCACCGCGCAAACTCTGCTATCCCGACTGCTCGAATCAGGTACCCACAGATTTGATGAGCCCGTATCGAGGATAACGCGAAAATCTTGCTGTGGTGTACCAATCGTGATATTGCCCAGATATTCAGCGTCAGTATAGTCGTTCACCTAAATCAGCGGTGGAGAATTTCAAACGAGCAGTGAAGATTGCTGACCATCTGAACAGTTAGCGGTGTCATGTGCGCGGAGAAAAACACCTTCGATGAAGTTGGGCATTCCCTACGATCACAAAATAATTATATTTTTCCGATGATCAACTCTGAACCACTACTCAGTTTATAACGTCAAGATCTAACATCAAAAGTTTGTCAAATGGGATACTGATTCATTTACTACTGATCTTACCCAATGGATGTAACTCCCCAAAATTACCGCTCATTTGCCCTTTCAACGTGGAAAAAGATCGCTCATGACGCTCATGAGTTGCTCAGAATCCGCTAAAATAAACTCCTCGCCGAATAATCCCTACCAATTGACCAACGACTTGTAGATCACTGAAACGTTGGTACTGTCCAGTCGATTTCAT